CATGTGATCAAAATTCAGACGCTTGGAAACCGATTCACATTTCTGCAACCTCATGTGGTCCCTTTTTGCGACCTTACAAACTAAGTCAAAGAGGAAGCCTGATTCACTTAACAACTGAGTTATTAATTTAACAACTGCAACGATTCCCTTAACAAATGTGGCAAGGGAAGTCGTAAAATGGGGCAACATTGACTTAACAAATGTTTCACGTAGCAACAAAAAAATTGGGCTCAATTTGTGGCCGTAAGTTGAGGATTACCTATATGCTCTATTGTTGAATTTCAGAACTGAAGCAACAATATCGGTATTTAAAAACAAGGTCTTTTAATGATCCAGGATAGAGTCTGATTCTCTAGATGTCTGAAGTAGATGGAGAAAGTGATACGAGCGGCATTTGGTTTTTCTCTCTTTCCTCGGTCTCTTTGACTACCATGGATGAAGAAAGCACAGGCAGGGGCCTGGACTGGTGTTTGTGTTTGTAGCTCCATCCCTCAGGAGCACCAGGTCTCCAAGGACTGTTCCACAGAATAAAGGGAAGGTGCCTGAATCCTCCCACATCAGCCTGCAAAGGAGTGAGGCCAGGGCACTGCCATGCCTCCCGAAGAGTCAAACTGGAGAAGGAAGGAAGAACAGTGGGAAAATAAACCTCAAAACGGTTTAGCTTAAGTGTAAGAATCATTCCTTTAAAATTCAGCAACTCCGATTGTTTCCGAGTTCCTAGAAAACACAGGAAGCTGCATGACCCCCACAGGTGTCTCGGAAGAAAATCGCATTCTGGCCAACAAGATTCTCAGGTTTTGATTTGCAATTCACTCATTTGCTTTGTGGGCCTACCAAAATATTTTCAGGGCTTAGTGGCCAGCATCAAATTAGAGAGACAAATGAAACATACCTTAAAAGTAGGTAGAGTCGGTTTCTCGCTGTCAAAACGCTTCATTTCGTGAGTATAACTCACTGGTCACTCCGGACCAGGAGAGGCATTGGGTCCTTAAACAGCTGTTGGCTTCCCTCTGACCCACTGAGTCATGGTGGATGATTTCCTGTTTTTTTTTTTTAAATTTATATAAAAATAACTGAGCTGCTGTGCTTTTGCTTTGAATTGTCTTTAACAAATCTTTATAGCTGCCCTTCTTGCGTCTGTTTCTTCAAGGCAAACGAATGCGCGTGCAGTTGTCCACCAGCCGTCTCAGGACCGCGCCCGGGATGGGAGACAAGAGTGGCTGCTACCGGTGTGGGAAGGAGGGTCACTGGTCTAAAGAGTGCCCGGTAGACCGCACGGGGCAAGTGGCTGAGTTGACCGAACCTTATAGCGAGCAATACGGAATGGTGCGCACCCCGTACCCTACAGGCTACGGGGATCCCATGTATTACGATGACCCCTATGGAATGGTGGATTACTATAAACGGTATCGCGCGAGAAATGCTGCGGCCTATGGGGCCTCTGCATACGACACTTATGCGGAGCACACCATGGCCCAGTATTCCCAGTACGCCCAGTACTCGCAAGCCACAGACATGGCCAGTCGCCTCTCTACCACCTTAGACCCCTACGAGAGGCCCCTGCTGCCAACCTCGGGAACTGCAGCCGCGGTAGCCGTCGCTGCTGTGGCCGCGACGTCCTCCTTTTACACCCGGGATAGAAGCCCTCTGCGTCGCTCGGCCGCTGCGGCTTCCACCGCTGGAGACGTGTACGGATACGAGCGCGTTCAGCTGTCTCCCGTCTCGCGATCCTCTCTCTACGATGTCCAGCGTTTCGGGTGGGATGCAGGCGCGGACAGGTTGCGATACTCCGCGTATTGAGTCTCGAGGTGAGAGTGCTTTTTTCATGAGTGGCTTGGAGGAGGAGGAGGGGGATGGCGCATTGGTGTGTCGCTGCTGGTGAGACGGGGGGACCTGCCTGAGGCTGGGTGGGTCTTCGGAGGAAATCTGCAGCTCTTAAGCCATAGCAGCCGAGGAACGGACCAGGCTGCTTGGTGGGGAGAGATGAAATTGAGAGAGAGACCACCATAGATGGGGGCAAACCATGCCAATTAGGAACGTCACCTTGCTATAAACATGGTTCTGCAATCTTCCAAAACGAGAGTGGTTCAGAGTGTCCCAGAGAGCCAAACCGACATGCCATGTCCAGGACATCTCACTTTGCTTCACACCAAGGATTTACCTCTAGGCACTACCAACCTTGGCCATTTCAGAGTTTCCTGGAATATTAATTCCCAAATGAGTTTTGTTCCTACTTACTTGTGTGCTTCGTTGCAGTCAGATTCAGGGAAGTCTTGCCCAAGAACAGTGGATTCCGCTGTTGTATTCCTAAAATCCTGACTAAGCTTTCCCCGTTGTTATTTTTCTCCTTCCTCTTCTCTTCCCATTGTCCCATATATTGCAATCTGCTCTCAGCACTGTGGGTGCCTCGATCCTTCCTCCTTGCCTGTTTCCCACTAGGCAACCGTAAAATTTGAAATTAGGGTGCAGCAACTACACCCCTACAAATAGAAGATGGAGTGGCTTTTAACCAAAGCTGCTTAGAAATCGAAGAGCAAGTTTGGATTACACAAGATGCCCCAGTGTGTAGCCTCTTGAGTCCCACCTGGGCCTGAGAGAAGTTCCATTTTGACTTTTTTGGTGGCCCTTCCGAAAATGCCTACTAGTTGAAGGGATAAAGATGCAAATTTGGCACTTAGTTACTTGAATCAGTCAATCCAGACCATTTTCTCCTACCAGTGGCTGAACCAGGTGCTTTACGAGCAGAAGTGCAATTCCCATCCGTGAAATGGTGGACCTCTTCATTTCGCCACTTCTGCAAATACGTCCTAATTCTTAAAAATTCACAGATGCTTGTGGGCCTCAGCACACATTCTGGTGTTCATGATGCTTTGATTGCTTTGTTTTTGTCCTATCCTTAAGCCTGTGATTTATTTTCACTGGGTGACACCCTTCACCCCCACGGTTGAATTCTGCTGAAAGATGATATTCTTTTCTCTTCCTAAATGGCTCATAAATTCTGTTCCCTTCTTTTTTTAAAAGAAAAGAAAAGCATTCTAGTTATTCTCATCCCTTGAGAAATTCTTAGCGTTACTTTCTTCTGGGTGTTTGGTGGCCTTTCACGTAATTTTACACATTTTTCCTATGACCAAGCAACGAAAGTTTACTTGCAGTCCTTTCCCAACAGTTCCAAAGAGTAGATTCCTTTCCCCTGCAGTAGTTAAAATACTTCCTACAGCGTTTTCACTGGGTTTTCTCTCACTGTCCCGTAATATCCGTCTCCCTCATTAGACTGACTTTCATCCAAAAATGTAGTTTTGTGCACTTTGAAGGTTGGGGAAGGTGAGTAGCCAGTGCTGAGTATCCCACTGATTCACTTTGACTTGCCACAGAGGAACAATCAACGTTTTGTGATTTTTGTGGCATTTTTGGTGAAAAGTTGACCAGGATTACAGGTAGTCCTTGATTTACAGCCATTCATTTAATGACCGGAGTTACGACAGCACTGAGAAAAGTGACTTACTACCAGTTTTCACACTTAGGACTGTTGTCTTATCCTCATGGTCACATGATCAGACTTTGGGTGCTTGGCAACCACCTGTGTTTACGATTGTTGTCGGCATCCTGGAATTGTCATGGGACCTTCTGACAAGTAGAGTCAACGGGGAAGCCAGTTTATGTTTTTTTGCCGCTTTCATGTTTTAACAACTGTAGTGTGTTAGGATTCCAGTGATTGCCATAATTAAATCAGCCTCGAGCCAAGTTTCAAAAGTATCCAGAAGATTTATTAGGAGAAACATGTCCAGCATTAACCAGAATGAAGCCAACTCTGACACAAACAATTTATGGTAACCTCTGACCCTGTTTCCCGTCTCCCCTGGGTGTACCATCAATCAGTTTCTCCAACATTAAGGGGTAGGTGTCATCAATCACGTTCTCCAATGAAGGATTTTCCCCAGGCAGAAGGTCAGGTGCCTCGGCTACAATCTTTTTAAGATAAGCGTGGAATGTACTTCTGGTTTATATTTGGCGATCTGCTCCTTCAGTTTTCCCCCCACTCCTGCTTATGGCAACTGGGAAACAAGCATAGGAATGTTTTAGGAGTTGACATAGTGATTCATTTAGCAGCCAGGTCAAATACTCATCTCTTAACGTCTGTGTTGAAATGAATGTTTTATTTTAAGCTTGAAAATAACACCTTCCTGCTCTGCCTTCCTCCTGAAGATGGTCCATAGTCCCAGGGAGGAAGGGATCCTTCCAGAACAGGTGCAAAAAAAGCGGTTAATATTTTGACAATCTTTCCCCTCCCGCCTCCAATCAAGTACACTTCCCGCTTAATTTCCCACCTGAGTTAAAGCTCTAAGGCAGTGGTCCCCAACCTTTTTTGTGCCACGGCCCGGTACCAGCATCAAAAAATGATCCACGGCCCGGTACCGGCATCAGCACGCATGACAAGGCAAGGCGAGCCAAGCGACCGGCCAGCCAGCCGTCCCCCGCTTCTCCCCGCCACCTTCGACTCCTCCTTTGTACCTTTGTCGGTGGGCTTCGCTTCGGGACGGTCACTCGGCTCGCCTTGCCTTGGGGGCTGAAAGAATCCTCACGCCTTAGTTTCATTTGAAGCCCCCCCCCTTCGATGAAACTAAGGCGCGAGGATTCCTTCAGGACCCAAACGCCGATTTCCAAACGGAAAAGCTCACCCGGAAGCACTTTCTCGTCAAACAAGATGGCGGCGCCCAGCAAACCGGTGGCCCAGTAGGAAATGTTCCATGGACCGGTACCAGTCCACGGCCTGGTGGTTGGGGACCCCTGCTCTAAGGCATAGATCTCCAAGCTTTGGCCACTGGCTGGGGAATTCTAGGAGTTGGAGTCCCCAAGTCTGAAGAGTTGCCGAGGTTGGAAGACCCTTGCTCTAAGGAATGTGGGTGGGCTCAGCCACGGAAAGTGCCGTTTTCCTTTCCTTTTCTAGGCACTGAGCCTGCAAATGAACTGTGTCTTTTATTTTTCAGGTAGGCTATTTGAGGGCTGGACATCGGGTTCCTGCGGCGCGTTCACGTCAAAGCTATGCCAGGCTTCACGAAGTGTCGATTTTGTGTTTAGCATGGTCTCGCTAATGGAAATTCTGTGTCTCAGCGCCGCTTAGTGACAACTAACAGTCCGGTCCCCGTTCTGTTTTAAAGGAAACAACACATTCCTCCTCTCCCCCCCTCCCCCCAGGCATTATTGGGAAGGGGAGGGCAGTGCTGTAGGGATTGGGGAGAGAAGGTTGTTGATAACTGGCCTTGTGGCCTTGGCTTTGGTCGAGCTCAGTCTAACTTTGAGCATAGACAGAGGGACACCCCAGAATAAACAAGAGACAAATACGTGGCCTTCCAAGGCTAACTTTGAGCCAATTTGTTCCAGTTCGATTTTGCAATTTCTCCTCCCCTGTGTAGGCTCAATTTTGGAATAAAATAATTCCAGTTCCTTCTTTTTTTCTATTATGCGAAGACATTGTCATATTTGGTAGCTGCCTGCATTTGGACTATAGAAAGCTTTCCTTTTGCTATGGATATTATTAACCTGTGACTTTTTGTTCTTTTGAAATTGACATTTCTCTCCTTTTTCCCCCTTCTCCAATAAAATAAAACATTTTTAACAGATCCTTGAAAGTGTGTGCGTTGTGCAATTCAGGTTTGAAAGGACGAGCTCGCCTATTGTCAACACGCTTTACAATTTTGCAGCTGAGTAAAATGGGCTGCTGGGAAGAATGTGATCCTTTTCAAGAGCCAGAAGCTTTAAAGTTTATTTTCCCGGGTTAGGATTCATTTCCATTCAGAATTAGGCTTTTTTGAGGGTTTTTTTTAGATTATGTAAAATGTTTCATAATTCAAACTTCACAAACTAGATTTGAGCTCTTGCTGCTGGTTTTTATCCCTCAGTTTCTGCACATGTGAAGATTTCTCCAAAATATCTATTTTTGAAAGGAAAAATCAGCTTAGGTTCAGTCATATTAAAGTGTTAGAGGAGTTTATCTCAATTTTGGCAACTTTAAGACTCATGGATTTCAAGTCCCATGATTTCCCAGACAGATAGTCCATTCGTCTTAAACTTGCCAAGGTATTAGGCATGTTTGCTGCCTTGAGGTACTTATAAAATTAATGAAGGTGGACTATTAAATAGATAATGAGCACTTCACCAAGTGAACTGGGTTTAGCCAACCAACCAAGTAACCAAGTTTACCACTGATCTGCCATCGAGGACCTGTATACTGCATGAGTCAAAAAAAAAAAAGCTGTGAAAATACAGACCCCTCACATCCCGGACATAAACTATTTCAACTCCTACCCTCAAAATGATGCTATAAAGCACTACACACCAGAACAACTAGACACAAAAACAGTATTTTCCCCAAACACCATCACTGCTAAACAATTCCCTCAACACTGTCCAACTATTTAGAAAGTCTGCACTACTATTACTATTAATCCTCCCATCCTTCCTTTCACCCATCCCCTCCCACTTATGACTGTACGACCTTTTTGTTTGTATCCTTACGATTATTATTGACTTCCCTAGTATGATTTGATTGCTTATTGTACCCTATGACTATTATTAAGTGTTGTACCTTATGATTTTTCATGAATATATCTCTTCTTTTATGTACACTGAGAGCATTTGCACCAAGACAAATTCCTTGTGTGTCCAATCACACT